ATACACACAGACAGACAGTCACACATAGACAGACAGGAGTTTTGCACGTGTCTCACAATTTTTCAGAATAAATGCCGGCTTATGAGTCTCACTCAAAATTTTAGAAAGGGTCTTGACAAATAGTCTCACCTGCTTTTGTCAATTAAGATCTTGATTCAGGAAAGGTCTCACTTCTGCTTGTAATCGGTGAAAAATCTCACTTTTCTCACGTTACTCATGAAAAATCTCACTTTTTTCACATTGCTTGTTTATAAGTTTCTCAACCCTTAGAAATCTCACTTCCAGAGGAGCTCTTGACTCATTTTATATTAAAAATGGCAATTAAGATCTTGATTCAGGAAAGGTCTCACTTGGGCTTGTAACCTGTGAAAAATCTCTCTTTTTTTCACGTTACTTATTTGTAAGTTATCTTAACCACCCTAGAATCTCACTTGCTTTTCATTTAACGCCTCACCAGATGTCTCACTTCTGTACTATACTGGGTCTTGGCTTAAACTGTTTTTTCTTTTTCACTATTTAATCAGGTCTTGATTGCATGGGCAAAACAGTGTCACTTTAACAGGGTCTCAGCCTTGTTTTGAGCAAACAACCTCACTGTTCAACTTTGCTTATAAAAAAAGGAAAAGTCTCATACTCGCCTTGTGTGAGAGATGTGTCGGAGCTCCGCCGGTCTGTCCCCGATGTCTCGAACCTGAACCTATCCCGCTGGCCTGTGACACAATCAGCGTCCGGGGCTTTTGGGCGGCCTATTGCCGACCTTTCAGCGCGTCCTGTCGAGTCCCACCGACGAACAGATTGCGAGGAGCTCCTGGCTGGCTCGCCAAGAATGTTAGGGATTTTTTCCCTCGTATCACCTTTAAAGAATTCACACACAAGACAGAGTATAAGAATTTTGAATGAGCCCTCTGCAGAGGGGGGAGTTCGTAACCTGACCAAACGTCAAGGTGAAGTCTGCCGTTCGACGGGAGAGCTCGTGTTTTATTGTGAGGCAGGAGGAGTGAGCATCAGGCAAAATCAACAGATACAGATTTTCTCCGACGCAGCGGAGCCAGAAAAGATTACTAAACAGACAGCTTGATTACAAAATGGGATAGCCGGAATAGCGAGGTCAGATCTGAATAACATCATGGTTGTTTAAAAACCCAAGGTCTTGGTCTGACTGCACGTGAACAAGACAAATGGCTATTCTTTAGTTCACACGACTGGAGTTTAATTAAATGATGCGGGCTCTAAAAAAAGTTTTAAATGATAACATTTACATTTTATCCATCAATTTCTATAATGGCAAAACATTTGTGTCAGTATACACACATTGTTTAGAATTAATAGTGGTGGAAAACAAAATGTAATTTAAAAAAAAACTTGTCAAAATGGCCCTCCTCCCCTCTCCACTCTCACACACAAACACCCACCTGAAGACTCCTGGGAGGATGTTGATGTAAATGGGTCTTTGTCCTCAGGATCCAACAATGTATGTGGAGACACTCAAAAAGCGTTCAATACAAAAACAACTGGACTTTATTTGTAACAGAAGACGTTTCGCTCCTCATCCGAGGAGCTTTCTCAATTCAAAGAGCAGAGAGTGAGAGATTCAGGTTATAAGGCTGAGTGAGATAAGACACACACACATATGTAGATTGGCAATTCACACCTAAACAAACTTAACAGTAAGAGTCTTTTGTTCCTCTAATTCACAGACGAGGCCCGTCTGTTTCCATCAGGTGTGAAAACCGGCTGGGAATCTGTTTTAAATAGGGTTGTACATCTCTGTGTGATAGACGATTCGATTCGCATCTAGATACAAAGGTTACGATTCGATTCAAAAACGATTTATTTTAAAAACAGAACGATTTGATTCGATTCGATACAGTGGAAGAGCGATTCGGTTCGATTCGATTCAACTTTATATAATTCTACAGTTTAACATTTGTTGAATGTAGACAAATATTAATTATGAACAAAAAGGGCCATTTCTATAAATGTGACATTCTTACATTATTTTTAAATTTGTAAAAGTTTACATATATCATATCTAAAAGCGTGCAGTAAGGCACTGGCAAAAATAAAGTAAAAAGCCAAACAACAGAATCACATGTCAAATGTGTTTATTTTTAGACATGGACCTAAAAAGACCAGCTAAAAGAATATTTCTTTGTTTGATGGGATCAGTATAAAATGAGAAAATAAAGAAAAATTATAAAATGCACAAATGATTACAGCAGCATGTAATAAAAAAAAATAAAAAAAAATAGGAATAAGCTACAGTAAGCACAAAGCACCTGTGCAATAACCTGTCACATACCCTGCGTAGTTTGGTAGTTATGTGCAATATATATCATGTGCATTTTAGCTTATATTACATTACTACCTTGAAATACTTATTCACACAAATTCATTCTGCTTCACTGTAAAAATTCTACAATGTTGTTTACCATTTTTCTCTTCAGAAACTTTGTAAATATTATAATTACTTTTTCACTTTTTGGTAGTTTATTTTGTACCCTTATTGCATGCTTTAGTATTTCTTGTTTGCTTGTTTTTTGTTTTTTAGCAAGTCAAATCGGTTCTTCTCATCCTGAGCATTTCAT